TATCCATAGGTTGTTTCATTTCATGTTGTCCCATAGCTCCCTTAGGCTCTCCTCCTGTATTTTAATTTTTTTCTCTAATTGCAGTTTAGTTTGGGTGTGTTTTATTTCACTGTCTTCTGATTCGCTAATTCTGTCCTCCGCTTCTCCTTGTCTACTGTTGAAACTTTCATGATGTTTTTTATTGCAGCTATATCACTCTTCATTTCTCCTTGGTTCTTACATAATTTATTGATTTTTTCATCTGTTTCTTCTTGCTTCTTGCATAAATTGTCGATTTTTTCCTCCACCCAGTGTATGCACTTTAGGACCCTTATTCTGAATTCTTTTTCTGTCATGTTGCATGCCTCTGTATCACTTAGCTGCTTTTCTGGCGAGTCCTCCTTTTCTTTCCTTGGGGAATTCTAGTCTACCCATGTTTGATCTCACTGACATATATAGATATTGAGTCGTTCAATGGCTGCTCCCAAGGTGGAAGTGGCTTCTCGGGCTGTGGTTGCTCCTTGGGAAGTTGTGGTAGCAGCTTCTCCTCTGTTGGTAGCAGGTCCTCTGATGGGTGCTGTTCACAGCTGTTGTGGTTCTTCTGGCTGGTGGAGGGAGGCTTCCCACCCAGCAGCTGTTCCTCAGACAGAGTGTGTGGTGATCAGGAGGCCGCTGTTGCTTGGATCTGCTGCATTGATTTAAAGGCACAAAATACAACACAACAAGGCACAACGTACCAGGCACTGACCACAAATGAATTAAAGTATTAATAACCCAAAATAAAGGTGGACACCCAAGCTAAGAGAGTTGGGGGATAAGGAAGAAAGAAGAGAAAAAGATAGAGAGGAAAACAGAAAAAAAAGAAAGATAGAAAAAAAAAGAGAGAGAAAAGAGAATGAAGTAGAAGAGGGAGGAGACTATTCATATGAGGAGAAAACTCCGATAGAACCGCCTCTAATCCCAGCAAATTCCAGCAATGGATCCCTGGAGTGAATACAAACTACAAACAACCAATAATATCAAGCAAGGCAAGGGAAAACAGAAGTAAAAAAATAACCGGTGGGGGGGTGGAAAAAAGAAAAAGAAAAAGCAGAACAACCTCACAATCCTTAAAAACAAAACAAAAGAAAACAATATACTCTACAATCGAGCAAACAGCAACAAAACAATAGAGAAAAGAAGAGAAAAAAATTTGGATAGTGAAGAAAGATAAGGGAGAGGTGTATAAGGATTTAGGGCAGGTGATTGGAAAAGGGATATATAAGTAGGGTGAAATTTAGACAGGGGGTAAGAAGAATAGGGAAATCTAAAGCAGGAATAGGGTAAGAGAAACAGGACAGCAAAAGGGAAAAGTGGGGGGCTGTATTGGTTTCCCAGACAGCCCTTACCTGTATTTACAGAAGAGTCAGTTTGTGGCTCTGCCTCTTGGTGGCAGTGCGTCGGGATTGACCTTTGAGGGTATAAGACCTCTCTGACCAGGTGTTCTCTATTGTACCAGAAGCTGGTTTGGGAATGTCCTCTGCCCAGAACTGGTTCCCCAGTAGTCACTCCCCGCACAGCCTTCCCTTATAAGCTCTGCGACTGACCCCAACTGGGTAATCCCATGCACTGGGTTCAACAATCAAACGCACAGATTTAAGAGCCTGGGAAGTTGTGCGAACTCGCAAGTCTCCACCTTCCAGATCTGCGCGAAGTCTCTGCACGCGGTCTGGCTCCTGGCACCGAGTAGCCGGCAAACTGGCGTACTCTGAGGCTGCCCGTTTGTGTCCAGTCCAACTGTGGGCTTATTTATAGCGTTCCCTGCTGCCAGCAGCCTTGGGGGAGCCCTTCCACACTTGTGGGTCATGCTGGCTCCAACGGCCGCGGTCTTTGTGGGGCGCAGAGTCCCCACCCCCGCTGCGCACGTTCCACTCTCCAACCTAAACTGCAAACCGCACCTTTGGGGGAAGTCTAACCTTTCTGTGGGGAGAAGCAGGGCTCCTCTGAGTTCACGTAGTCCCGCTGCTTGAGAGCCGTTGTTGCCGGGTTAGTAACTGGTCTCTGGATGCCGGTGACAGCCACTCAAGATGGCACAGTCTCCGCAGCTGAGCCGGCGCACCTGGAGAGGTTTCAGCCTCAACCTCTAACTGTTCCCTTTTTCTAGGAGTTCTCTGTCTTTCCTGGCTGCAGACTGTCTCTCAGCTGAATCTCCTCTGCTTATTCAGGCTGTATGCTACCCATTTCAGTTGCTCGCCCTTATCTGCTCCGGGACAAGGCACCGACACGTCTGTCTAAACCTCAGCCATTTTCTCCTCCTCGGATTCTTTTTTCTTTTTGTTTTTCTGGTTGGGTGTTTTTTGCTTCTTCGTATTTCAAATCTTTGACTTGATTCTTGCGATTGTCTAGTCTGCTGTTGGGAGTCTGTATAATATGTCCTCTGTCCTGGAGTTGAAGGGCTTTTTATACATCAGGTAGGGGGAAGAAAGATGTACATTGGAAAGAATTTACATTGGCTAAAAACAAGGTGGGTTGGATACGGCAAAGGAGGCTCAGTTCTGGGATAGATGCAGCATCTGTTTGCTCCTTTGGGTTGGTTGTAGAAAGTTCCTGTGTAAGCAAGAAGCACAGGCTCCTCCAGTGGGCGATGCCTGGTAGTCTCTTTCAGATAGTGATGGGAATAGCCACCTGGGGGTTAATTCAAAGTTCCCACTTACACTCAGGAATGAAAGCAGTCTTTTGTTGGTTGTGCCCTGAAGTTAGCTGACTAACCCCTTCTCGTCCCTTCCTTCTACACTCTGGCCTGCTATAATTCAACTTAGAACATCTCAGAATTGTCTCCTTGTCAATGGTAAAGATCAGAATTATTTTAGGAGGCACCAGCTTAGGGTTTTTCTTCAGCCTTCTGAAGTGTGAGGTTTTTGACAGAGGGTAAGGGTCAGGAGAAGGTAAGTTGCTCTGTCCTGTTGTACTCCAGGATGTACTCAAGCTATCATCCTTTAATTTCAGGTTCTCTGACTAATTGGGCTGTGCTGAGAACCCATTCCATTTTGTTATCTCTATATTTGAAATCTCTCATTCTGACCCCATGTTTTTCTTATTAACATTTGTTTTTCTATTTTTGCTCCCATTTGAAGGTACAATCACTGGTTTGATGGGATGGCGTTGCTTCACCAGTTTAGGATGGAGAAGGGCACCGTCACATATAGGAGCAAGTTTCTACAGAGTGATACATACAAGGCCAACAGTGCTCAGAATCGAATTGTGATCTCAGAATTTGGCACACTGGCTCTCCCTGATCCATGCAGGAATGTTTTTGAACGTTTCATGTCCAAGTTTGAGCTACCTGGTAAGCAGCTATTACTTGGCCGAGAATTTGCAGGTGATAATGGTGATTATTTAGATTGTTATGTGATATGACATTCTATATAGAGTTTGAAATAGATTTTTCAGTGTGAGAGGATGTTTACACTGCTTTCTCCCTCCTCTTGTGGTGCTTCAATAACTCTGGGGTTTGGTTTCAGCAATAACAGACAACACCAGTGTCAACTATGTGCGGTACAAGGGTGATTACTACCTGAGCACTGAGACCAACTTTATGAATAAAGTGGACATTGAAACCCTGGAAAAAACAGAAAAGGTAAAATGTAGGTTAAAAAATGAATAAAATGGACCCCCAAATTTCTTTTCATTCAAAATACTTTTCAGCATAGTAGATATCTGAATAAGAAATTGGAACCGTAGCCAAACATAACCAAATTACCCACTGTGCACTCGCTGTCCTGATTAGAATGACCTTGTGTTGGCTTTCCATACTTTTATACTTCTTTCTTAGTCCCTGCAGGCTAGGGTTAGGGAGGAAGAGAATAACATTTATGCCCTAGCTGGTTTGGCTTAGTAGATAAAGTGTCGGTCTGTGGACTGAAGGGCCCTGGATTCAATTCCAGTCAAGGGTGCTTGGGTTGCGGGCTCAATCCCCAGTAGGGGGCATGCAGGAGGCAGCCTATCAGTGATTATCTCTCATCATTGCTGTTTCTCTCTCTCTCTCCCTTCTTCTCTGAAATAAATCAAAATATATTTTAAAAAATATTAAGT